TAACTGTAAGGTGGAATACTTTTTGGATTTCAGTGAGGGAAACTGACAACAAAATTTACTTCATCCACAATTACCATGTTGCATTATGGTCAATAGTTTTACCTTCTAATTGGTTGTCAATTTTCAGTTGTTCTGCTGTTTGACCACTTGAACTTTTACAAGTCCTAGCTCTAATATTCGGGCATAAAACTTCTATTTTGAGAGGGAGGATTCTTTATTTTATCATTTTGTTCTACAGATATCAGATATAACACAAAGTTCCCAGAAATTATCCTAACCTTCAAATTAACGTGCTGAAGAAATGAGAGGTATATACACATTCCAATATTGTTTTCAGCTTTTTATCTAGCGGTCATTACAGCCGTTTAAGATGACAACTCAACTAAATTTTATCTAATATGCAAAGCCAAGCACCTTAATATTTTACCAACAGAAAGCTGAGAAATCTACGGATGCTTTTCTGAATCTCTTTGTTGCTGGACAGACCAAAGAATTAATGCTGCTTATTTTACCAGAACCTGAGAGATCCAAACCTAATCCTGAATTACTGTACACAGTTTTAATGCTATATGAAGAAAATCTTACAACAACCTAAACGTACAACTTTTATCAGTTCTGGCAAAACAATGAAAAAAAAGATGAATTGTTACATTGAATTCCAGGGTTAACAGTATACAAAATTCCTTCGAGATGCATATAACAGGCTATTTAAAAACAAAAGTGAAAAAAATAAGTATTTTGCTCTGAAAATTAGTACTCTGTCCCTGAAAATTTCAAGTCGTTTCCTTATGTTTTTTTAATGCTTATCTTAAAATAAGTTTAAAATTCTGATATTGGCTTTCATCCTAACACCTATGCAAAATATGAAATAAATCTGAATACATGGATTTATCACCTATTGCATGATTCTTATGTGAACCTGTAATTTATTTATAAATAAACCAGTGCTTATTAATCATATTAAAAACTTTGAAAATTCTGTGACAAAGACTTTTCGACATACGTCTACTTTTAAGAAATATATTTCAGATACACTGTGATATAATGAAATTACACACAGTTGAAGCAAATGTTTTAATAAATTCGCATACATGTAATACCAGATCTAGATAAGGAAGAAAAACACATACAAACACAATACACAATTACACAATTTAATAAGGTATGGAAAATTTATTCTACATTAAGGAAAAAAGACAAATACGTCAAGATCGAATACAAAAAAAAAAAAAAAAAAAAAAAAACACATTCGTAATTTATAAAAGAAAAAAAAATATCATGAATATTTAGACAAATTATGAGAAACCTTAAACTTGGAAGGAAACTTTCACAAGTTTCACATTAAAAATGCTTTTATTTTATTTGTTTGTCAGATTGTACTTAATAAGTTAAAATATATAACAATTTTTTCACGCTATTATTGTGTTTTATATTTCCTGAAGCCCCATCCCAGTACAGTAAGAGCACCAAAAGTATTAATTTAATTCTGTCAATTTATTTTCTTAAATTATAATCTCCTTTAACAACGAAGCATGCTTTGATTTTTTAATTTACCACCGAACATTACACTGCAATATTTTTTGCGTAATGCAAATATACAGCTGTAATAATGTGTATGAAATGAGAATATTTTGAAGGAATGCAATGTTGCTAAGAAATCATCAGTTGATAATGCTAAATAGTACAATATCTTAAAATCTTTTAGGTCAATATAAGAGTGTGTTTAATGTGTTTTATTTCTATCAAGAAATGATATGCATTGATTTTCATGATAATTATTTGTTGATTATCATATGAAATTTAATAATTCAAGTATAATTATGACATTTTGCTAAAATATTTATTTTAATAGAAATCTACATTTTTGATAAATATTCACAATTTAAATTTGAAAGTAACACTGATATTTATTCAATAAATCCTGTGTAAGTGCAAAAAGATCAACAGAAGTAGTATTGATTGAAAACTTATCTTTCATTAGTTTACGGGAAAGGCATAAATTCTTATCACTTTTCGTAATCATTTTGGCAAGTTTTTAATCATACTAAAGATTGAGAACACCGTCAGAAAAACTTTTGGTAAATATTTACAAATTTGAGGTTGAAATTGCCTAACAAGTCCTGTGAAAAATATTCATCACATTTGCTTATATTTGTTGATTTAATCTTTTCTGTCAACTATAAAGATAAATTCAATTATTTCTTTTAACTTCTGTTCAATTAAAACAGTTTAAAAACAAAGATATTTTATGACATTTTTTGTGATCTATATATTCTACTTAAGACCATATAGCTCTTAATTTACCGAAAATTATATTCATAGTGTTCAACTTTAATCCAAGTTGAAACGGCTGCACTACAATAAATAACAGAGGAGACTACCATGTACTTTTAATTAATAAATGAGCTAATTAATCATATTAAAAAGTTAGACATTTCTATGACAAAGACTTTTCCGACATAAGTACACACACATAAAAACACAATACACAATAAATAAGATAAGGAAAATATATTGGACATTAAGGAAAAATAAGAACAGTACGTCAAGATCGATTGCAAAAAAAAAAAAGAAAGAAAAAAAAGACATCCGTAATTTATGGAAGAAAAAAATGCAAATTTAGGCAAAGTACGAGATATCGTAAACTAGGAAGAAATTAAAATTTTTACCAGTATCACATTAAAGGGCTTTTTTATATGTTGTCGGATTGTAGTTAAAAAAAAATTAAATGCAAAACAATGTTTTATTTTCAACGCTATTTGATTGTGTTTTTCTTATTTCCTGGATTGGGGCTAAACATTGCAGTAAGAGTATCGAATGTATTAAATTAATTTTGTCATTGTTTTTTACTTAAATTAAAACTCCTTTAACAAAGAAGCACAATCATCACACAATTTTTGAATTTTTTTCTCGATAAGAGATACAAAAAAAATAATAACTGCAGAAATATGACATTTTACATTTCATCACAGTCCTCATAGAAACCTCTCCATTTACACTGGTTTCTTGATAACGCTGGCATCTTAATTTAATTTACTTAAATTTATGATCTCCATCTTGCATATAAAGGTTTAAAGAAAAGATGATGTCACTTGAAATCAAATCCATATCTCTGAAAACGTTAAAGGTAAAGATAACGAACGGTGATCGATCGCAAAAAAATCCATAAACAATACAAGTATATGAGGAGGGCATAAAACACGGACCCCTGGAAATTCCAAAGGTGGGATTAGGTGTCTAAGATTTATATTAATCGCTCAGTGTTTTTTTTTTTTTTTTTTTTTTTTTTTTTTTTGATATTATCATCATTATGCTGATTGAATTACCCCTTTGATAAAGGAATACCTCTTAAGAAAAATCATATACACTTTTTTCGCAATTTTTCTTATTCAATTTCATTCCAGTTAAGACAAAATTTAAAAGATTTTTTTTTTTTTTTTTTGGTAAAGATAGGGGAGTTTATGCCAACCTAACATTAAACATTATACCATTCTAAAAAAAATGGTTTGTAAAATGTCAGGGTAGCGAACAATTATAAGGAAAATATACAAAACACGAAGAGAGAACTTGAATACTCTGTCCTCAAAAAGGAAATTAAAGGTCATTATACAATTTTACAGTCCCTTATCCACATTAAAATGTAGGAGATGTCCAGTTTTTTTTTTTTTTTTTTTTAGAAATCTACTTGAGATAAAATGAAATTACATACAAATGAGGCAAATACTTTAATAAATTCGCATGATAACAGATCTAGATAAGGAAGAAAACACACATACAAACAAAAAACACAATACAAAAGACAAGGAAAATATATTGTACATTAAGGAAAATACGAACAATACATGAAGATCGAATACAGAAAAAAAAACATTCGTAAGCTATAAAAGAATTAAAACTAAAAAATGCAAAGGACAAAAGCCAAAATGTACAAAAATTGGCCCTGTCACTAAAATAGACCAAACTCTCTCAAACAAAACTCTTATATTTGTAGATTACGAAACATTTTATTTTTTTACAATATCTTTTCTAGTTTTCTTTTTACAGGCGTTTAAATTCAGTATTGTTTTCAGAATTAATTCTAAAACGTCATGACGTCGACGTTATTTACTTTAACGTCATAAAGTCCATTTTACATACTGTCACGACATGATGTGAACTTAAATAGGCATATCATACATATTATACTATAAAGAAAAAGAATCCAATTGTTTTATAAATCTCAATTTATCATGGCTTTTTCCATGAAATTCTGAAGCATGGAAAAATTAGCATTTGCTTTTCTAATAGTCCGTGCTTCTCTAGACATCAACTATATTTACTTCATAAGCGATTAAGCTGATTATCATTTTACAAATGTCACATTCAAAAGTGTCAGTTTATAGAAATAAAAACAAAAAAAATTATCAGGTTTCTAGTAAATATTTGTATTTTTTGCTCTGAAAGTATTCATTACAAAACATAAAATATTTAAGTACAATTCACTATTCATATGATTTTAAAGTAAAACAAATAAATAATACATAAATCAAAAAAAAATGTATTTAAACATGTATTTATAAATATATTTCGTCAAGTTATGCGACTATACTAATTAATGCTATATCACAACATCCAACTTAACACTCTAGCAGCAGATTAAACAGGAAAATAAATAAAATATAACACTGTACATGCGGAGCGGCCAATTTCCGCGCAGTAGATAAAACAGGTAAATTGATAAAATATAACACTGTACATGCGGAGCGGCCAATTTCCGCACCCGACTTAACACTCACGCAGTAGATAAAACAGGTAAATTGATAAAATAAAACACTGTACATGCGGAGCGGCCAATTGCCGCACCCGACTTAACACTCACGCAGTAGATAAAACAGGTAAATTGATAAAAAATAACACTGTACATGCGGAGCGGCCAATTTCCGCACCCGACTTAACACTCATGCAGTAGATAAAACAGGATTTTTTTTATATATATATTATATACAATGAACATTAACAAACTGTTCACTCCTCAGGAACACTTTCACAGCTACTGACTTCACTGTCTGACTCGTCCAAAGTAGGCGGGATGTCAGCTGCATCAAGGACATGCTCACTCCAATCACGCACACCATACGTTCTTCCCTCATGCCTTCCTTTTGCCAGGTACCAAATGATGGCTGCTATGTGAGAGCACATGCCTACAACTCTGGCACCCGCTCTGCAGGTACAATACCATGCTTCTACAGAGCAATCAGAATATTCAATCCAAACTAAATACTGTTTTGATGATGTGTGCCGACTCTGAATTTTTACTCTTAGGAGCCTATCATTATCTTTATGAAAAGAAATATCACATTCTCCCTCAATGTGTTCCTGAATATAGCTGCGGGAGAGCTTCAGCTGATAGGTGCCACAAGTCAAATTCCGCAACTGATCCTCATCCAACATGGGGAAATTCTGAATTTCACATTCCAGAACTGTCTGCCATTGAGTAGGTCTCCTGTTAAGTCCATTCTCTTGAACCATTTGTTTGAGATTATTCACCTGTTAAGCAAGGTAGTAATGTAATTCATATACATTGAATCATGTACATGTAATTATAACTTATACTGATGTATTCAAGGGAGATAAGGTAGATGAAATAAAGAAATGGAAAAAGTTATGTCTTCTTAAATGCAGATTTAAATTAAATGCAGATTTTTTGCAGTTGCTTAAGGTATTTTACAATAAATCAATCTGTGCAACTTAAATACCTGTTTGGACAAAAAGAGCATTTTTGCTGCCTCTGCATCATCTGCCTCATTGCTATCACTTTTACTTAGGGGTGGGAAGAATCTGTTTGACAGTGCACAAACAATTCTGACATAGTCCCCGATGAAGGAAATTTGATTAGTGGGTAGTGTCTTGTCCAAATATCGCCACCTTTTGATGCGTGCATTTGATGATTCAACTACCCATCTGACCTGAAAAAAATTTTAAAAATTATTTATGGGAATATATTTCCACAAGAAATTGTAAAAAACTTAATTATTGCAAGAATTTACACATTATTTACCTTTGTCACAAGTCTGCTCATATTTGCATCATCAGAAGTCATTTGTTTTTGTCCCTTTTCCAAAAATCGGGGCATTTCTGCCTGGATTCCAAGATCTTCAAGCAGAGGCAAAGCATCTCTGAACCCGCGGTCAACAATAAAGATGTCTTCTTCACTAAGCCAGTTCCGAATATCTTCTGCATTTGTTTTGATGATGTGTTGGAGGATTGAAGCATCATTGTTTTTATTATCAGCAAGGTATGGTCCTAAGATTGAGACAAAGTAACCAGTAGTAGTCACAATCACCATAGGCTTGATAAGTGGTCTCCCCTTGTGGATGCTGTAAGAACGTCTTTGGTAATGGAAATTATTACTCTTGGCTGTGTATATGTATGTTCCGTCCAATACCAATATGGCCTGTTTCTTCTCGATGTTACCGAACAGTGTCTGTGCTAGCTGCCGAGTATGGTCATTTATGACTTCCTCTCTAGTTACATGCTCAAACCCAAGACTGTGCGGAACAAAACTGATCATCATTGCCTTTCTTACAGCACTAATAGCTCTTCTTAAACTGGATTTGGAAGTTTGAAAAAGTGTTGACAGTATTTGATTTGATAATCCGGTCTTTAATTTTCAGAGGAATATGGCTACTGATTTTCTAAGACTTCTAGATGGTGTTGGTTTCACTTCAGTTTTCACAGAATCACATATTGTATGGAAATTTTCCTTGTTGAGTCCCAGCAGAGATGAATAGTCTGTTTCTGTCAGAGTCTTTGCTTCATCAAAGTCCAAATAAGACTTTTCATGTTTATGGCATAAATCACGCATCTGTTGAAGTAAACTTAGGATGGTCGTTCTGTTAACAAATGCATGGTCTGTTGTCGGTAATTGCTGAATAGCCGCACTTGTAAAGCGTCCATTTTCCAGATGACCTGGACAACATCTATTTCCGGATGGAATTAGTACATTGTGTTCAATAAAAACAGCTGTGCGGCATTTATGGTTTGAAACATCTCTGTAATAATTGTTTCTACATTTGCTGCAGATGACTGAATTTTCTCTTCCTTCCACCATAAACTTTTTTCTTAAATATTTTCTAATTCCTTTGTCAAGATGCCTTCTTTCATTGGGTTTTGTTCTTTTAGAGCACAATACACAATTGAAGTATTCATGTTTCTGTCCTGGCATTATCTGAAATTAAATTAAAACATTTAAAACATTATCCAGGCTAAGCATGAAAAATAATTCATATACCTTTCCAGTAGAATAAAAATTATTTTTTATTTTACTGCCACAATTCATTAACTACAGCCAAAATGACTGATAAAAATCTTTGCACAACATATCTTTTTATCTAGTTTAGAATTACAATAAAAATCTCATCCCATGATGTTAGCTGGCTATGCTCAGATTCATGGACCCTTACATTTGTTAAAACTCTGCCAGTGGATGGACATTTTATTAATTTTTACATCAGTATACAAATATTGTCCTATTACTCTGGGAATACTTTAAGAAGTTAGCAATAAAACTCTATCTGATTATGTTAAACCACCTTATCTTTGCTTTTTTCTGTTTTATAAATCCATTAAAATTATAATGAAAGTATGTGTAAAAATGTTAAGTTCCTACTGCGGATTTAGAAAGTAATTCATATCATGCTTTTCAATTTATATCAGTATATATTCACACGCCTTTAGATCCACCCCATTCCAAGTTATATTTATTTGATGAATAGGAATATAAAAGTTGCAAAATTATAATATTGAATTTAATTGAGCTTATTTTTCTTTAGCAATATGGACTACAAATTTTTTTTTTGACTAAATATTACTTAATCATGATTTGTTTTGTATTGTTGGTTATATTATTTTTAGAAATAATGATTATTAAAAAGAACCTATCAAAAAATATTACAATAGAACGTGAATTTCCTCAAAGAGAGGTAACTCATGAAAACGAAAATGTCAACATTGTTATTGCGACTTTTAATTTTACAGATATATTAACCTGCGTTTAATGTGTCAATTTTTGGTGAATAATGACTTTTAAATATATAAATTAATATTTTTACATTCATATATGGACTTAAAGATACGTAATTTTCTTCAAAAAGGGTTCAGATTGGCATGCATAATAGTTATTCATAGGGGCCTAGTGTAAACATTGGGCTTATCACATTTGGGTGAGAATAAAATGAACGCACTATATACAGATTTTATAAAACTTCATTTAGACCAATGCCGATCTTTTCTCAGCTTAATCACATGTACTACATAATACATATATGTACAATACATGTACACACACATATATATGGATAGGCCTATCATAACGCACAACTGCAAACGATATATGGGCCAAGCGAATGTGGTCTAAATTATAAGCTCATCATCATCATATTATTGCTGCAAATGTATTTTAAAGCTAACTTTTTAATTACCTTTTTTTAGAAGAATAAAAGATACTCACCACAATAAAGTCTCAAAAATAAACTTCTCGATCTTCAGTCATAGTCTTTGCATTACGAATAGTCAGCTGTTTTTATCATATCGGGATCGGAAATTCCCTTTTATCGACTTAATAGTAAATCGAGTCGATTTCATATCCTTTAAAATTCGTTGACGATGTAACAATGATTTATTAAAAAATAAGTCATCAATATGACTTATTAAATTTATTTTTATTTTTAAAATTTTACTGAAAATAAAATTCCGGAAATTAGCTTTACTACACAAGACAGGCATCAGAGTACTGAAAAATATCAATTAAAGTAGGGCGCCACACGTGAACCATCAAAAAACAAATGAATTATGAATTTACATGTATAAATTTATATGTATTTAAAATTTCATCATGGTTCACGATTGGCGCCTACAAAAAATCGTTTAAAAAAGGTAAAAAAAAATTCTGTGCAAATTGGTATTTCTGCATTACCGCATCCGGTTTTGATGTGTATAACAGCGCACGTGCGGTTTCCTTCCTAAAAATCAAGACGGAGATCAAAAGTTTAACACCTTATAAAGATCTGACCAAAATTTCGCTGCAAAAAAATAAAGTTTGATTTTCAGGGATTTACAGGGCTGAACTATGCAAATTTTGGCTTTAGTTCTTTATGAGAAATCTTAACCTAAGGAGGAATTTTTTCCTAGTATCACATAAAAATCTTTATCTTATTTGTTTGTCAAATTGTAGTTAAGGAATCTGAAATGCAAAACAATTTTATTTTCCACACTATTTGATTTTGGTTTTAAATTGCCTAAAGACCCGTTCCAATGCAGTGAAAAAATAAAGTTTATGTGACTTTTTTTATTTTTTCAATACTTTTTTTTTAAATTATGTATTTCCATACCAACAAAATAGTTGCTCGCGTGGAGCAGTGTTTAGAGCATGTTCTCTATAGAGTTCCGGTGTAATTAGTTGATCCTTACGTCGCGGGTTCGAATCCACTGCGTGACGTGGAGACCAGTCCTTCGGATGAGATTATATAAACCGAGGTTCCGTGTGGCAATAGGTATTTGCACTAAAAAAAAGATCCATCTATGCTCAATGGTCATGATTGCCGAGCATAGGTTATAATTTGCAGCTCTCCACCGGCAAGTGGTGGCGTCTCCATATGAATGAAAAATTCTAGAAAGGGACGTTAAACAACGTTCAAACAAACAAACAACAGAGAAATTAATTATTAGTATTAATTATCGAATATATAATTATTTATTTTTCTATTCCAATGACATCCATATTACTAGATTAAAGATACAACTATTCAGTTACAGCGGGAAAATGACATTTTATATTATATCACTGTTCTCAGAGGAACCTCTCCATTACCTCAGGATTATTAATGATTAGTAGAGAAACAAACCAGCAACGGCTGATATATATACAAATTAATGTGGATAAAAACAATTGATTCCTCATTATATGGGATTCATGGCATCAACATGATATCTTTCACAGTATGACATACATCAGAAGGGCGGTAAACTCTCGATTTTCCTTCCCATATTGAAGAGTTTTGTAAAAAAATACTCATTGGCCTGTTATAAGATAGAGTGAGTAAATAAACCATTCTGACAGATAATAAAACTGCCAAAACCTCTTTAAATATGTTGTTGAAATTCATGTTCGAATGTATTCAATTTCACATAACTTAGCTATGACTTCTCAACCTCTCAACTATGACGTCATAAAGCCTACGAAACTATATTACTAAGAAATAAAGGCAAAGGGAAAATAAAAGAAAATGTAATAAACAGAAAATTCAATGTTGTGTAGTTGGATATGGAATTTATTTCACTTGAGAGACAGGATTTTTTTTGTAATATTTTCACTTGTGCTTCGCATTCTTGAAAATATAAAAAAAAAAAAAAAACCCAGTCCCACTTGTGAAATAAATTCCATATTCAACAACGAAACATTGAATATCCTCAATGTGCCTGCATTCGGGTTGATATTTCTCAGTTGATTCGATACGATAGAGCATGCTCTACGTATGAACAATTTATAAAACGAGGTAAGTTATTGACAAACAAATTGATAAAAAAGAATATCAGTAGCCTTGTTTAAAATCATCATTTCGTAATTTCTATGGTCGATACAATAATCTTGTCAGCAAATGCAATCTATCACTAAGTCAAGTGCTGACTGACGTTTTTCCCAATCATGACAAGGAGCACACGGTTGGTGTGACCGATTAGCAAAAGATACTCACTCCTCCATAGCACCTTCTCTGATGTTTTAGAGGTCCATGTTTGCTCTGCTCTAAAATATGTGATTGTTTAATGGACTTCTGAGCTTGAATACTGTTTGTTATCTCCACATATTTCACTTAATGTGTATTTTCAGTATTTTCACAGCATACAATCCGATATGGAATAACGTTAAGGGATTTACAAATGTAGTGATTACGCTTTGTTGACAGCTTTTGTTTAGAAAACATTTAGAGATAAAAAAGAGACAAGATAGAAATCGGCTCAATCCGATGTGCACAAGTATTATATTTCAAAAATATTTAAGATTACTTTAAATAAAACGAAAAAAAAGAATCATACCAAAACGAATAAATACTTATAAAATAAATTGTCAATCTTTTGGGGAAAAAAACATGTGTATATGAGTTATTACTGTATATTTTTTTTACATTTAAAAGATCCGTTTTGGCATGGGGTAAAACATGTATTTTTTTTTTTTTTTTTTTTTTTTTGCAAACATGGGGGGGGAGGGTAATATTTAAAATATACTCCATTATCCAAAAGAGAGCTTGTATCTAAAAAAAAATTCTTTTTTCCATTAAACATATGCAATGAAACCGTTTATGCATAGCATAGAAAAGCAGAATTTTTTTTTAATACCTTCTCATATTTGTACGATTAATTAGAATGATTAGGAATCGAGCTTCAAGCAATTGACAAAATATCCCGTTCATCTTCTATTGATTCCTGCAGAGCATCAGCTACAATGTATGCATCGAGTGAGAATGTCTTAACTATAATCGGTAAACGACGATTACGTCAACCAACAAGGGAATCCTCAACAACGTCTCAGGAAGATCTTCGTAATGATTTGATCATTTTTCTTCATTTTTCAAGTGAGATGTTTCCTTGTCTTTCATTTTTTTAAAAAAAAATTTATTTAATCATTTTTGGGTTCATGTAGATTTGAGATATAGCGTTAAGAAAGTGCCAGTTTGAACATCTGTAGAACAATTCCAAGTTAAAATATGTATTAAAAAAAAAAAAAAAAAAAAAAAAAAAAAAAAAAAAAACACATACACACACACACCAAGTACCAGGTATTTTTTTTACGTTTTAAGGTAGATGGCATATACAGATTTTATAATTATGCAGTAATCTTAATCTAAAAATGTTGTATTGTTACACAATATTTTTATCATTCGTATGCAGATTTATCAAAAATTAAAAGAAAAAGATTTTTACAGTAATAACATAAATAGGCATTACACTGTACTAAGAAAATTAAACCTAACAGT